ACACCTCACCTGTGACATACACACCTCACCTGTGACATACACACCCTACCTCTGACATACACATCTTTACCTGTGACATACACACCCCGTACCTGTGACATAAACACCTCACCTGTGACATACACAACCTACCTGTGACATACACACCTTAGTGTGACATACACACCCATTACCTGAGACATACACACCTCACCTGTGGCATACACACCTCACCTGTGACATACACACCTCACCTGTGACATACACACCCTGTACCTGTGACATACACACCTCACCTGTGACATACACACCTCACCTGTGACATACACACCCTGTACCTGTGACATAAACACCTCACCTGTGACACAAACACCTCACCTGTGACATACACACCCTGAGTGTGACATACACACCTGAACTCTGACATACACACCTCACCTGTGACATACACACCTTTACCTGACATACACACCCTGTACCTGTGACATACACACCTTAACTGTGACATACACACCCTACCTATGATATACACACCTCACCTGTGACACACACACCCTCACCTGTGACATACACACCCTGAGCTGTGACATACGCACTTCCCCTGTGACATACACACCTCACTTGTGACATACACACCCTTTACCTGTGCCATACACACCGTGTACCTGTGACATACACACCTCACCTGTGACATAAACACCTCACCTGTGACATACACACCCTTACCTGTGACATACAGACCTCACCTGTGACATACACACCTTAGTGTGACATACACACCCATTACCTGAGACATACACACCTCACCTGTGACATACACACCCTGAGTGTGACATACACACCCTGAGTGTGACATACACACCTCACCTGTGACTTACACACGTCACCTGTGACATACACACCTCACCTGTGACATACACACCCTGTACCTGTGACATACACACCCCCACCTGTGACATACACACCTCACCTGTGACATACACACCTTAAACTGTGACATACACACCCTGTACCTGTGACATACACACCTTAAACTGTGACATATATACCTCACCTGTGACATACACACCCTGTACCTGTGACATACACACCTGAGTGTGACATACACACCTCACCTGTGACATACACACCTGAGTGTGACATACACACATTAATTGTGACATTCACACCTGACCTGTGACATACACACCTTTACCTGAGACATACACACCCTGAGTGTGACATACACACCCTACCTGTGACATACACACCCTCACCTGTGAGATACACACCCTACCTGTGACATACACACC